ATTCTGTTGATTTTCGTTCGCATTACCGGCAATGACTTCGCAATGTCTTAAAGGTGAATATCGTTTGATAGTTCTCGGAAATTGCCGTTTGATAATCATTTTCGGTTTCTTCGACAAACCGTATCAAATCTTTCGCTGTTTGCTTCTCGTTGGAGATGGCTCTCCTTTACCTTTTTGCTACTGAACAATTGTACATTTCCATCTTCGTAGTAATGTACTTTTGAAGTTTTCAGAATAACTATAGATATAAATAATTTGAGAATTTCGAGACAACTATAAATAAAGTAGATTTTTATCATTATAATAATTTAAGCATGTATTTGTAAAGAAATAACAATATTGATAAAATTTAAATTAGCAAAAAAAAAAGATAGTGCCAACGGTACATGGTGTTCCCAAGCGGTCACCCATCCAAGTACTGACCATGCCCAACGTTGCTTAACTTCAGTGATCGGACGAGAACTGGTGCTTTACAACGTTTTTTTCTTTCTTTTTAAAAAGAAAAAAAAAAAAAAAAAAAAAAAAGATATGTGTATATGTATTTTTGAGAAAAAGAACACGTAAGAAGTATGAAATAAATTTATTAATTTTACCAAAGTCTGTAAATGCGCGGACACACGACGCGCAAACATGCCGAAGCACATATTGCACATGTGCCGCTGCATACAACACGTGCGGTGCATTCGCGATGGCGAGCGAAAAAGGTCGACGAATTGACAAAGTCACGCACACACGCAAGTAGGGTCGCAGAAACACGTTTCATCGATTGTGAGAGATTCGCGTGCATATGTATTCAACATCGGCATCGAACAAAGGCCAAAAGACCGAAACTAAATTGAATCTGATACGCAAAGGGCAGTGTGCTCGCGTATAAAAATTATAAAATAAGAAACGTCACGTGAAATATATACGCGCCGATCAGTTTAGCCTCAAAACAAGTTATTTCAAACAGCTGTTACAGTGACAAACGAATTCCGATCAGCGACGAAAAGCGAAATGTGTAAGATGTCGCACCATAAAATGTGATATAATCCTTTTATACTGATATAATTATCAACACGCAGTGCAGGAAGTTTTCGCGTATAGGAAGCAATAGGGACAAGAGTGTTTCGATCCCGATAAATATCTCAGCGAAGGTTCAGCTACCGATTGACACCATCCTTATTTTTAGATCCCTAGCCTTAACATGCTCCTGTTACACGATCCAATAAGCACAATGTGAAACGGAGGAGAATTAGCGACGACCCTCGCTTTCTTTTTCACGCCGTGGCGGTCAAGTATTTAAGAGGGCGGCGGCTTTGCGGCGACGAAAATCGATGACCGGTCTCGGAATTGATAGAGACAGCGCGATGACGAGAGACTGATTCCGGTCGCCAAAAATCGAAATTTGCCCATCGCATTAGTCAATATTGAAATAAGCTTGAGACAATATTTATTACCCGGAACCCTCGTCCGCATATTTAGCTTCCAAAAAAACTTGTTATCGGAATATTTTAACAGACACGCCCACAACGGACCCGTATTGCCTTTCGTCTCTTTAGCAAGTAATATCTTAAAAGTATTGCGTGCTCAGACTGCCTTTTGCTTGTCATAAGATCCGATGTATAATAAAGAAAATGATAAAATTACAAAAACTTTTTTTTAAATTAAAACTTTGTGGGCATACTTATCATATATTTATAGTGTGCTGATATCTTATAAATGATAAAAGTACAGTTGAGCCATTAATATTAAAAGCCAATTGCATTTAAAGGAAGATAAACATTATAAAATTTGATGAATATTAAAAAAGTGGAGTGTAAATTGAAAACTGCATATCCAAATATTTCCTTTTGCTCTTTAACAAAATTACATTTATATGTATATTTAATATACATAAAAATATATATCTAACAAATATTACATTTATACGTATCATTATATAATTTGATGAATATTAAAAAAGTGGAGTGTAAATTGAAAACTGCATATCCAAATATTTCCTTTTGCTCTTTAACAAAATTACATTTATATGTATATTTAATATACATAAAAATATATATCTAACAAATATTACATTTATACGTATATTTAATTTATATATAAAAATATATATCTTTAAATTTTTAATCTAACTATCCACGGAGTAATGAGAAGTATTGTTCGGCGAAAAAGGTGAGATGATAAAAACAAATGTTACCAGTAGCGGTAAACAACGATACAAAAAAATTAAAGGTCGCGAATCATGTAATTAAAGAAATTTTTTAATTTTTTGGTTTAAAATATATATCTTTGCGCCCTAAAAACTGCGCGTGGCTCTTTTGCCATTTTACTCGGATTTTTGATAAATCTGTAAGTTCATTTTTCGTCGTCTATTCAAGGATTGAGCAAAATATCGTGATAAGAGATAAGACGAGGCTATGTTAAAGGCATACATTAACTATGCGGTATAGCAATATATGTGATTACGCGGTTAACAGTCGAGGTCGAACTATCGTAATTTGCTAAAACAATGTGACACTAAATTTCTCTTGCATCCTCGAACGAACAGGAAAATTTCGTGGTAAAGGGCCCCGTTTTGTCAAAGGGACTACTCATTGAGTTTGCAGAGTTTCGCAGATGTTGCGATACACGACGATGCGACACACACAGGGCTCGTAGTCACGTACGGACTCCTCGTCTAATGAAACCCAACTATCGATGGGTTATTATCGGGACACCTTGTACGGTGGTTTGTACCTTTCGCGCGGCTCTTTGATCTATCTTAGGTAGAAGGTTGAACAACTACCTGTCTACGAAGGGTCGGCCGACCTCTCGTTGTACGTAGAATTTCAAAAGGGATCACCGGATTCTGCACGAAATTGCTTCAGGTGGCCATAACTTACTTGTAATCTTGGACAAATTTATTCCCAACCACCTGTAGGATCGTCACCTCGGAACCTTTAAGTCACTTATTTTTATAAGCTACGTTTCTCGGCGGTATTTTTAGAACGGTAATTCTTTACGCGATCCAATAAACCCGTTGTGACATCTCTATCGAAAAACAAATTTAAATACACATTTTCATATAAATACATATATAGATTCCGAGTAATCATACTCGTGTGATATTAAAGTACTAGAAGATAAAAGTAAAAATTTCAGATATCTTTCATTATATTTATTTTTAATTTGTTTAAAAACAGTTATTAACTTTTTAATCACTTCATTTCGTTTAATTTTGATTAATGTTTCTATTTTTCTGGTGTGCATAATTAAAAAATTATGCATATTTATAACGAAATGAAATTTACTTTTCCAAATTTAATTTTATTGTACATTTAAAATTTAGAAAATTAATGTAAATATTATTCATTTCTATTTATTTTTGCACAATTCGCATTTGAGTGTAATATTATGCGAATGCGCGACTAGAGCTAATTTTGAACCACTATAGACGATACTTCGCTTCCTGTCAGTTAAGATTGTGCCAAATAGGAGTACGTACGGAAATCGGCTTTGTGTGAGTGGGCTTAATTATTTAGAGGATTACATAAATTCTCGGGAGATTCGCGGTTCTCCTACGATATTCGCGGCAAATAGGATCGTTGTGAATTTGAAGGAGAATTCTACAAAGCTCTGTATATTGCATGTCAGAAAGATAAGCCAAGCTGCTCTCACACATATACGCCTATGTTCGACAGAGGGAACAGAGAAAGAGAGAGAAACTAACTGATCTATTCGCTCTAATAGAGTTCAAATTTCATGGGAGGATCTAAAAAGTAAACCTGGCAAGCGAGATGCTTTTCATGACATATAATCAGCTGGTTACCTTGCAAACTACAAAATGTTTTCGTGAGACTCATATAACAGCCTCGAGAAGAGAATTGCATCTTACTCGATAAAATCAACAAAAGGCAAAGGCGCATATAATATTCTTGTTCACAAACGAAGAAGTAATTTTGAGAAAAAACTCTGATACGCATCAATCATGATGAAAAAATCATAAAAATAAAACAAAATACTTTAATTTTTTAATATCGTTATTTTTATATAAAAAACAATGCCTAATTTTTTAAATTATCGAGCTCTATTCATAGCTTTAAGTTTTTAGAAAGGGGGAATTTATTTGCTTAATATATTTTTCAATGAATGATCAATATTCTTTTCCAATGTTTGACTAACATAAATAAGAAAAAATAATATATCTAAAATATTATTAAATATAT